ATTTTTGTAACGTAGGTGATATAATTCAAGTATTCGGATTTGATTTATACGTTTTTAACTGAAAAAGAATTTCGACACATTTCTTTGTCTACTTTAGCAATGCTGTCTAGATCACTTGATTTTTAAATCAATAGATTGATTTCGAGTTTAAGTTTATGCGATAGTACAAAACTTAAACTGTTTACATAAGTTAAATTACTTTTTGTTTCTTCTCACTACAGATAACTGATTTTGAAAATAATCGGGGGAAATATACACTGAACATTTTTATTGCATTCTTCTAGATTACAAAGACAAATTTAGTGTAACTAATCGTTATAAAAATAATTGAATCGAGATTTCGAGAAAACTGTAAAATAGGTTCCACTTAAGGCATAAATTTGTTTGAAGAAAATTTGCCATAAAATAATATATAAATAAATGAAGCTAAAGTTGTAAAATGAAAAGTTATTCTCTAAATCAAATTAATTGCGTTTCAAACCTTCAATAACTAACTTTTTATCAGACAATTTAAAATGATTATTTTTATACCAAGTGCTAATCACAGACTTCACACCTTTTTTTTATAATAACTTTTATGGCTTTTCTTCTGATTGCAATTTTACCTTTAAGGCTACACAGTACCCTAAAAATTTTATTTTTACCGAAAAATTTTTTTTGCATGTTTTGGTGGCCCATATCATTGAGATGGTTGCCACAAAATTTCAGATCTGTTACCAAATTAGTTTTTAAGATATTTGAAGTTTTATGAGCTATGGTTTTGGTTTCGGTTTCCTTTTAAAGCATTTTTTCACACTTAAGTTGAATTGATTAAAAATATTTTTGAGCTTTTAGTTTGAAATGGTTATTAATTTCAATTTTCATTACTAAAATCATTTTTGCTTGATTATGTTTTGAGTTTTTTGAGTTCTCATAATTAATTAATAAAGATTAATTTCACGGCCAATTTTTGCTTTAAAAATAGTTTATACAACTTAAAAGCTTTATCATTAATTTTTTCCTGTAGAGAAAATGCCATGGCAAATGCGTTCTGGGTTTCTGTGAGAAACAATATTTCGAAGAGATGGAATACTACTGAAAATGGTGTATCTAAAAACCATTCCTCAGCTGATTCTGCAATTAGACTTCCGAATACAAGTATTCTGAATTCAAATGCTGCAGATATAACTGAATATTTCCTTGCTGTACCAAACTACATTATACTAAACATATTGTAGTACTATATTTTAGTATTTTAAAAGTCATACGACAAGAGCTAAAACTTCCTAAACTGCCCCAATTTAAAAATGAAAAACATTAAATTTTATGAGCAAACCTGACTATTTTTAGCTAAACTTAGTATCATTATTATTTTGTACATAAATGCTTCGTGTTTCAAAACTTTTGTGAAATATTAGGTTAAGATAAAGCTGAATAAACTGACGTCTTAACAAATGCTATCAATATTATGCAAAAATATTTTTTGAATTAAAAATATAATTTTCAGTCATATTTAATAAAAATAGTGTTTTAATGTAGAGCATACATTGGAAAATAACATATTAAAAAATTAGAGTTTTACGGGCATTATAAGTTTTTGTTTTATGACTTTACAAACTTTAAATGCGTTTTTCTCAGGGTTTTAATTTTGAAGGTATAAGTGTTTTATAATCCCTAAGGCTTTTTTCTTGTTCAAGATAGAGCCTTGAATTTTTTTGTATACACTCCCAAATGTATGTTCTATAAAAGTTAGTATGGATTTAGGGCTGAGAACTCTAGTTATTTTTCTAAAAAATGCTAAAGTTGATATTTTAAAAATTTTCGTGTTTTTTCCAGGTTTTTCTAGAAAAATAATTATTAAAAATCAACAAGGGAATAGATTTTCAAATTCATACTAAATATTGTTTGTAATAATCTAAGAATCATAAATAACTTGAAATTACTAAAAAAATTTAAAAATTGTGTATTTTATAAGAGTTTGAAAAAACTTCAAAAATTCCTAATTTTTTAAAATTGTAAAATAATGGCTGGTCAATCTGACTTTTTGCTTACAGAATCAGCTTAATAATATAATCTAAATATAAAACATCAATTATTTTTACTGTAACTGTCTCCAAAAATTTTTTTGAAAAAGGGTACCGTGTAGACTTAATCTATTTCTTAACGTATAATGTTATACATTTATGGAAGGAATAACATTAAATTGTTTTAGTTTATTTTCCATAATTAAATTCTAATAATACATATGACAGTTGTTCCCTTTAAGGGGGTTCACCCGCGTGATGGGTTCAAAAAATCAAAAAAAAATTCTTTTTTAATAATTTGCTTCCTTAACATGTCTAGAATTCTGTAGTAAAGTGATGTTTTAAAACTCTAAGTCGTTATAAAAAAAAGCAGGTGTTAGAAGAGCAGCTGTTCGTAGCGCTAAGTTAAGATTTTCATTGTTTTAATCGGACTTGAAACGTAAAACGCGTTTTTCTCAAAACTGTGTTTTTCAAACTTTCCTCCATCATATCTCAAGAACGGTTTGGCCGAATGACTTCGAATTTATAGGGCAGACTCAACAGAAATATACGCGCCAAATGAAGTACGATCATTCCAAAATTCAAAATATTTCTATTTTTTATAACAAAAAAATCCCATGAAATTAGAAACGTTTTTTTAGAGGTCTACCAAAAATCCAATTTTTGATATTTTCAATTGAGTATAGTTCATCCAGTGCGTTTAAGCTTATAGATCATAACGCCGTTAATTTTTTTAAATTTCAGATAAGCCAATCAGCGGGAATCGTGGAGGAAGTGAGCGTCCATTTTTTCGAGGCGGGTGTGTTCAGAGCGCTGTAACTCACCTTCCATTGGATATACATACTCTTTGGATACACATGTTTATATACATACTCTTAAAATATATATAAATAATTGATAAAAAAAAATCTTAAAGCTCTGTCTTTTTACCGGTCATCAAAAAAAAAAAAAAAACCAAAAAAAAACTCCTTAAGAATGCTTAAAAAACAGGCCCTCACAGGGTTGAACCCCCTTAATACTCCTACTATTGTTTTCATAAAAATAAATTTAATCTCGATGCTTTACTAGATTAATCTGCTTTTCTATCATATATTTCTCGTATTGTCTTTCTCGTTCGTTGCATTCTATTCCGGTTTCGAAAATTTACCGCGCTTACGAAATTTTTGCGACACCACCAAGAATTGACAATATCTCTCACTAAAAAGGCTCCCATTATATCGAAAATGTCGGCTATTTATCACCCTCATTATTCCTAAATATTCGCCATCGGTATTTATAATGATAATAGCAAGGGACTCATTGTCTAGTTTTCATTACAGTATACAATATTCATTAATTAAAATCATACAACAAAGAGCCGTTACTGAACACTCCGCGCCACCACCCCGTGTCGTTATTAGAAAACTCTCTTCTCACTTATATCGATTGATTTACCAACCTTTCTCTCTATTTTCTCTCTCTTTTTACAATTTTTTTTTAATCATTCCAAAGGGCGGGTCGCAAAGCCGCTTTCGCCAAACACTAACTTTTATAGGGGACACATTCATTATTGGAATATTTGGCTCGGAATCGAAGCCCCAGTGTCTCGTTGCGAGACGATTATTAAGAGCAGGGGCGCGAGCAACAAGTCGGGGCGGGGGATAATAAAGCACTTGGCCACACTGGCAAATACCGACGCTGCATTCCGTAGATGCCACGTGAAGGGGATTTAATTAAATTTGACCGATGGCAAGTTGATCTCCACTTCATTAGAGCCAGAGCGTGGTGAGGGTGTGGGAACCCCCTCTAATACCCCTTCCTTTTTATTTGGCTTGAGCCAATGTTTACCACCGAAAATATTACTCTCGCTTTCCTTCGATAATCTCTTATTAAAAGACCGATAAGAGAGAGAGCCTCTTTTATTATTATTATTATTCCTTTTAGCCTCCTATTCTTTTATTTATTTTTTACTCCCCCTTTTTATTTGGTGGAGAGAGGGAGAGAGGGCGAAGGAACTGACCTTCTTTTCCGGCTCTAAATTTTATAGTTGCTTCTTTGCGAAGTAAATAAGTTGCTATTGAGCTGTCAGTGGAGTACCGACTCTTTTCTGTGGCGTTATAGGTCTGAAGGTGTTAAAAATATCGTAGTTGAAATAACACCGAACGGTAATAATAAAAAGGAATCTTAATATTTCAGAAGAGTAAAATGAGCTGCTCCTTTTTAATCAAAACTTTTTGTCGTTTTTTAGAAGTATTTTATACTCTTGAAGTGTTTACGACTCAACACAAATATTGTTTGTTGTTTCGTTTGGTAATACTATCCGGATGATATTTTACAAAAAATGTTTTTATGATATGCACGTTGTTCTGAGAAAATAATAAAAAGTTTGTGTAGAGAGAGATTCTTTTAGGGTGAAAAGGCTTCTTGCATCAACTTCCGTAGACACTATTTTTTTTTACCATTTTATTCGATTCTGGAGACAAATTAAATTTATCCGGAAATGAAGTCTCCCTTCACAAAATATATGACGAATTTATTTAATTTCCGTGAAACAAGCGACTTGAGAGTGAATTATGAAATTTTGTAGTATGTGTTTTTTTTTCTAAGATATGTGTCTAAAAAAATATTCAAGCTGTAATCCCTCCTCTTTTGCATCCAAAATTCTTGAAAATATTCTTATTTTATTTTATTATTTATTTATTTATTTTGTACACTTTTAAAAATAACTAGCATTATTTCAAAAGAAAAGCTGTTCCCAAATTTTAGTTAAACAATGTTTGCATAGTACAATAAAAAGATTTTAATTCTTTTATGGAGTTATTTATTCTTTATTTTATATAAATTTCGATAAAAGAAATGAAAATTTATTGCTGTTATACATATACTCATTTACTTTGATTTTAACTATTTGTGATCCCGTTTTGTACATATTACACTATTTGTGTGTGCAATCATCAATTTAGAATTCAAGATCATCATATTTTTGTAAAAAAGAAATCCCATTCTCAGAAATTAGGCCATCCCAGATAGGATTCAAACCAATGAACTTTGAATTAAAAGTCCAACGCGCTACCCATTGCGCTACAGGAACACAATGAATGATTTTCCTTTCTAAAAAATTGTTGAACTATTATTTTTGTTTGTTACTATTTATTCATTTTTAATTAATGAATTAATATTCGAAAAAATGTGTTAACATCAAGTGTCATTCACAATAAATTTTAAAAAATGTATTTTAACTTGAATGGATGAATAGAAAGTATTTTATTAACGATTAACAATTTGAACACAAGATATGTATATATATAGGGAGAGAGTGAACTAATTGTAGGAATTGAAAAAAAGAAGAGAGAGAGTATAGTTAAGAAACTATTAACGTACAATTTAACATATTATTCGTGGTACACATTACAATAATTAATTAAAAACTGGAATCTTATGTAGAATATTATAATGAATTGAACGATGTCTACATTATAGAGAATAAAAGAAGGGGAGGGGGTAGAAAGGAGTCATCGCGATGTGTATCTCTCTTTTCAGATAACAAATTCGCCATCTGGAAAAGCCACCTAAGTAAACTGGGCTGGGACAAAGAAAGGTTTCATCTTACCACCACGAATGGGGTGGTCTCTTTTGTTCTTGTTCAACGTCCCTCATCGAACGGAGAGGCATACCCATCCCATTTTTTTCCTTCCAAATGCCATTCAACTAACACCGGTTACGAAGGACGTTGTCGAGAAGTAAATAAAGATTCAGGGGGCAAAAAAAAAGGTTGTCAATAACAAAAAGAAGGGGGAAAAAATCCCTATGAAAAAAGGGACATCTCTAAAAACAATGTGTCTGTGGAAGCCGCTACCATGTATAGATGATAAGTATGTGTCGCTGAGTTTCTAACATCCAACCACTTGATGATTTGAGAGTGAAAAAAAGGGAAGAAGGGATGAGGGAGTGAGAGTGTGGAAGTGAATCCGTCAGTTGCAGCTCGTCCCAGAGGTCACTGAGTAGCAGAGGCAGCTGACTGAGGAACTTGTAACTGGCGTCTCCCGCGCTTCCATTAATATTAAGCTCTCACAAACATGTCCCTTTTATCGATTCCGAGCGTCACCCAGATACTTTCATGTCACTCTTCCAAAATCCCCTCCCCCAACTCCATCTCCGTGGAATTTTTTTCCCTCCAAAGAGTAATTCACTCCCTGTACCTTATTCTTCACTCTTTTGTTTACTCGTCGGAAATGCTTTGAGATGGATTGACAGTGTACTCTGCTTCTTTGTCTCCAGGTTACATGTTGCTCGACTTGAGTGCCTTTTTTTATTTAGAAAAAAAAACCTGTGCTCTATTTTATAGTTTTGATATTCATTTAGGATATCCGACTACGTTCGGAACCGTGATTTTAAGAAAGCGCATAAATGGATACTTTTAATGATATTTAGTGTCACTTAGATTAGAGAATATATGTATAAAATTGTATTAAGGACATTTTGACAAAAATATTTATTTAAATACAATATTTGGGCAAAAAATTAACTTAGAATAACCTTTTTTCAAAATGTTCTCCTTGTTTAAAAAATGCTTCTAAAATAATAATATTTTGCTTACTTAAAGTTAAGACTTCTCCAGAGAGTCTGATCTATTTTTTTGAAAAATTCTCATTATTTTTCAGAGTTACAACCAATTGAAATAATTGTCGGCGTTTTTTTCTTAAAATTTCTCCCCTCTGTGGTCGTAAAACATGGATAAACCCACTTCAAAGCTATCTATTTCAATAATTCTAGTTGAGCCTCTATACAGAAGTCTGAGCTATTTACAGGCAAAATATTATTATAATAGAAGTATTTTTCACAAAAGGAGAATATTTTGAAAATGGGTCATTCTATGTTCATTTTTTGTCAAAATATTATACTTAAATAATTTTTTATTGTAATACTATTCTTAAAACAATTTTATATACATTTTTTAATCTAAGTGACACTAAATATCATAAGTATTATCCATTTTGTACGCTTTTGCAAAATCACGGTTCCGAACATAGTCGAATACCTTAATGGTATTTTGCGAAACTAGATGTTAAAAGGCAACTTGTTTCGTGCTTTACGTCATTAGAGAAGCTTAGATAAACTCTTGGGGGAGATGTTATTTTTAAATATTTCGTTAATTTGTAGTTTTCTTATAAACGTTTCTGCTAAAGGCCTTAAGTAAAAGTTAATATTTGTTTAACGTTTATTCTTCGTTCTTGGAGTTCAAAATTAAGGAAATTTGCATATTCCGTCGAATTTCTCGAAGAGTACTCACAAGGAGAGGGCATGACTAAGGAAATTCATTTGGGGACGAGACTTCGTTTCACAGTAGTACTTCCTTAGAGTGTTCATCCCTCAATGTAATTCCGCCGAATGAGCAGTCAATTCGGAGAAAATAGCCTTCGAAATTCATGCTTAGCTTTTATACAATTAAATTTTAATTGTCATCAGAGCTGCAGTGGCATGGTTGGCAGAGTATCTGTTGACCCTGAGTTTGGCCAAACCGAGTCAGTGACCGGTTTTTATTTTTTTGTTTTGTCTTATTTTTTAAATTCATTTAATTATTTTTTAAATTCATTTAAATATTTTTTCAATTAAGTAAATTTATTTAAAAAAGGTTTATTAAATGTTAAATGATATTTTAGTTAATTATTTTGTATTTTATAAAGTAAAATATTTACTGTAAATATATAAAAATTTATACTATATTTTATATATATAATTATTAATAAACAATATTTATTATAAAAATATATTATAATAAATGTTAAATGATATTTTATATAAAAATTACTTACAAATAGTTTTATAACATTAAAAATACAATATATTATAATAAAATATCTTTATACATAAAAATCTTCCGTGCGTGTGTATGTGACTGAACTCCTCCTAAACGGTTGGACCGATTTTGATGAAATTTTTTGTGTGGGTACATGTGGATTTGAAAATGGTTTAGATTCACAATTCGGTCAGATATCGCAATTAGTTAAAAAGATATTAATTAAAAGCATTAAAATCATTCAACTCAATATTCACCTGCATTGTTATAACAACGTTATTGTTATAAAAATGACGTAAGTTGGCGTCGAAAATCAATTTTCAGCCAAATTGGCCAAACCGGGTCTTTATTGTTACAAAAATGCAGATGAATCATGCTTTTTAGCGTTTTTAGTTAATATATTTTCAAATAATCTTTATATATACAATTCTTCTGTGGTGTGTAGGTGACTGGGAACTCCTCCTAAACGGCTGTTGGACAGTGGCACACACAAAGAGGGGGAGGTCCTGGAGGCCCGGACCCCCCCCAAGCCCTTGATTTTTTTCCGATTGATTTTAGTTCTATTTATAGTACGCAAAATTTAATTAAGTATTTGGTATTAATGATTAATTTTATTAATTAATGCTAATTATTTATTCAATAATTAGTTTTTTACTGTGTCTTGTTCCCGAATATCGACAAAATCAAAAGGAGCTTGATACAAGAATGGTGAACTTTCGACCCCCTCCCCCCTGAAAAATTCCTGTGCGCGCTACTGCTGTTGGATGATACTTTTTGTGTGGGTTCAAGTGGATTGGAGAAGGGTTTAGATTCACAATTCTGTCCGATATAGCAATTAGTTAAAAATGTGTCAAAGCTATGTAAGGCCGCGTGATTGTTCATAAAAAATTGTGGGCAATATTTTTGAGGCCACTATTTTGAGCGGCAAACTTCAAGGTGAAATTGTATTTCTACCACAGATCCCAATGATTCTTTCAGACTCACCTACCCATTCAAATGCTTGCAATTTCCAATTCGCTTTGCATTTGTTATGACCTTTAATAAGTCACAAGGTCAAACAATGACAATTTGTGGCTTAGATTTAGAAAACCCATGCTTTTCGCACGACCAATTATATGTTGCATGTCCGAGATTTGGCAAACCATTACATTTGTTTGCTTATACCCCTCAAGGATTAGCCAAAAACATTGCACATTCAATTGCATTAAGATAAATTTATTTTTTGTGCATTAAAAAATATACCTGTTATGAAAATAGCTCGAGTTTTATCCCTTTTACCCTTTAATCAAAACAAGTTTAAGTTTCTATTCAGAATAGCTTCTGTATTCAACTTAGTTGATAGTAAATACATACTCACACGCAATCGATAAGTCGAATTGTGGTAACTGTACATGTGATGATGTCAGGTATTGTAATAACGTTCTTTGTAAAAAATTTCATCAAAACGGGACAGATTGCTACAACTTATTCAAAAAATTTGTAATTTTCGTATTTAAGGACAACGTCTGTAGGGACCGCTGGTATATATTTATATAAATATATCAAATAAATTATATATTATTTATTATGTTATAGAAAATAAATATTGTTAAGTGTAAATAGGTAAGGAGGAGACGGGGACGGAAAAAGAGCATTAGAAGTGCTGATTTTGTGAAGGAAAGGGAAAATTTATAAAAGTAGAAAAAGCCCGTGCAACGCCAGACCATGCAGCTAGTTATATATAATATTATAATAATATATAAAATATATTATAAATAAATTATATATTATATATATTAATATACAAAATATATTATAATTAAAATATTATATATAATACTATAATAAAACATATAAAATACATTACAAATAAAATATTATATGTAATATAATAAAAAAATATTATAAATATAAAATATTATATGTAACATAATAATATATAAATATATTATAATAATTATTTATAAAAAATTATTTCATAATATAATAAAAATACTATGTATTTTATATTATATATTATTAATATAATTATTGTATAATTATATAAAATATTTAATGTCCTTTTTAAATAAATTTATTTAATTATAAAAATAATTAAATGAATTAAAAAAATAAAACAACAAAAAACGATCACACGACTCATATCTTGGCCAAACGCGTGGTCAACAGATATTCTACCAAATATGCCACAGCATCTCTGACGATAATTGAAATTTAACTTAATAAAAGCTAAGCATGAATTTCGAAGGCTATTTTCTCCGAATTGACTGGCTATTCGGTAGAATTACATTGAGGGTTGAACACACTCTAAAGGA